CCGCCCCACCAGGCGGAGGCGGGGACCAGCCGCGCCGGCGGGCGGGCGGGGCCGGAGGAGAGGGAGGGGGATGGGGAGGGGAGAGGGCGGGCTCCTCGCGCAGCCCGCGCTCGCCGTCCGTGGCCGCAGATTCGCTACGAACTGCCCTACCACCCTGCAGCCTATGTATGGCGCCCGCGGTCTCCAGCAACCCAGTTCTGCGAAGGAGGAGCTGCCGAGCGCCGCGGGGTGTCCGGGGCCTTTGCAGGTCCCGTAGAATGGCCTCTCGAGCCACAACGGGGAGGGGAGGGCCGTGGCGAAAGTGCAGCTCTGCGCGCCTGGACGCCGCGTTTACCCTGCGCAGACGCCGTCGCCTCCGCCACCGCTGCCACTGCCTTTGCCGTCCCGTGTCCGCCGCCTGTCCCCTGCTGCCTACGGGAGCCTCCTTTGTTCCCGCGGCGAAGACCCAAGCCCAGGCTACCAGAGGCTCGCGGGACGGGCGGGGGCCGGCCAGGCCGGAACGCTGGGGCGCCGGCAGGACCGGGGCGGCGGGGTCAGCGCGGGAATCGGGGAGCCGGGCCGGCGCGGGGCGGCCGGGCGGGGAGGCGAACTCTGTGACCTCCGGATCGGGACGCCCTCCCGGCCCGTCTTTCCCGCCGGCCTCCCCAGGGGAGTCGAGGCCCCGGCGATGATCCCGGACTCGAGGTGGCCGGTGAGTGCGGGCCTGGGCAGAGTGGCTCTGCGGGCGCTGAAGCCCGGGAACTGACAGTGCGTCGGCCCTGCCTCCGGATCCTCCGGGCTGCCCCGGCCAGTGGCAGGAGAGGGCCTCACTTAATTTGCTCCACTTTGACAAAGGGGAAACCCTGCGGCATCCGGGAGAGAAGGCTGCCGGCCCCGGGAGCCCCGCCCTCCACTTCCTTCAGCCAGGGGAGGTGGGAGCTGAGGCAGCGGCCCAACCCCGGGGCCCCGGGCGCTCCCCGAGGGCTTTGAGGTCTTGAGTTTTCCTCTGATCCCTGTGCCTGCGTTGCCGAGTCCCAGCGGGACGTTGCTGTGGACGCCCTGCCACTTGGGAAGCCAGGGGAGCAGAGCCAGAGCTGTTCACCTGGGGCCCTGCTTGGAAAGAGGAGAACTTGTTTGTAGCTCCGATTGGTTTGTGTTTAAAGACGCGGCTGCAGGTAGGAAGTAGGAGGGAGTTGACTTGAATGTGTAGCTGTTAATGTTGTGGAAGCCCAGGGCTGCTGACAGAGGGGCTGGAGCAGCCCAATTGCTCAGTTAAGCTTCAGGAGAAGAGAGGCCTAGCGGGGTCATTGTTTATCCTGAGCAGGGTGGCCTTGCCTGGGATAGTGCTAAGCTCCTGGCTGAATTGTTGAACTCAACTAGGCCGAGAGAAATTGGGACAGTCTCTGCCCAAGCCAGCATCCTGGGGTTTGGTGCCATCTGCTGTCTCCACTCACCCAGGAAGATTGAGGGGGCAGCCCCTAAGGATCAGCCTGGAGCTGAGCATTCCTAGTTTGTCCTGTTCCTGTTTGTACCTGTAGGACCTGCACTTCCTTAACACTCAGTTAATGTTGCAGGAATGGGTGAATGAGGAACTTAAATGCTGCTATTCCTGAGTAAATGACCTCAGCTTTCACTTTGGGGTTTTGTTTTGGTTTGGTTTGGTTTTTTGTCTTTTTGAGACAGGGTCTCGCTGTGCAGTTCAGGCTGGCCTTAAGCTCACTTTGTGGCCCAGGCCGGTCTCAAATTCACAGCGATCCTCCTGCCTCAGCCTCAAGTTCTGGGGTTACAGTTGTGTGTCATCACACCTGGCCTTTAGCTTTCGCTTTGGCTTCACAGCATACACTCAATCCAGGGCCAGGGTGAGGATCCAAATTAAGACTTTAGAAATGAGCTAATTCTGTGGTCTACTAACTTCTGTTGGAGTCCAGGGCTAATTCATTGGCCAGCCATTCAAGCTTCTGCCTGGGCTAATAAAGACCATTCAGCTGTTCATTCATTTGCCAAAAATAGTGCCCAGTGCATGCCTATAGAAGTGGGTAGGCTCTCTGTTTTGTGTGATAGGCCTCGGTCCAGTGAGAAGACAACTTGCAGTGTGTTAAATGTCATGCTGGAGATGAGAATGGAAGGATCTGGAAAGACAGCTCCCTGTGGAGAGTTAGAGAAGACATAACAAATGTGACACCTGAGTTGGGTTTTGAAGAATGACGAGTGGCCCACCAGAGAGCTGTAAGTGGTGAAAAGAGTCGAAAAAGGAAAACGGATAGTGAAAGCAGTGTCTAAAATGTCATCACAGAAAACTTGGATTTTATCCTGAAGTAAGTGGAAAGCATCAGGAGGCTTTTGTTCAAGAGACTCATGTGATCATTGCTACCTAGTAGAAAGATCAGTCTGGCCAAATGGTGTGAGATTGGGCTAAAGGAGATGAGACACCAGGCAGGATGTCTAGGCAAGGGGTACCCAGTCCCAGACCAAAGCTATGGTGGAGATAGACTTTGGAGATGCTAGAAAGGTGGGCTGGCCAAGATCTGGTGACCACTGAGGACAGAGACTAAAGAGAGTAGGTTTCTGGGGCAGGTGGGCGGGAGCTCTTCCATAAAGTTTGTGCTGTGTATTCCAGATGTGACAGCATGGGGGTGGACTTTGATGTGAAAACTTTCTGCCACAACTTGCGGGCAACTAAGCCACCATACGAGTGCCCTGTGGAGACCTGTCGCAAGGTTTACAAGAGTTACAGTGGCATCGAGTACCACCTGTACCACTATGACCACGACAACCCGCCGCCCCCACAGCAGACTCCACTCCGCAAGCACAAGAAGAAGGGGCGCCAGTCTCGTCCAGCCAACAAGCAGTCACCGAGCCCTTCAGAGGTCTCCCAGTCACCAGGCCGTGAGGTGATGAGCTACGCACAGGCCCAGCGCATGGTGGAGGTGGACCTGCATGGCCGTGTCCACCGCATCAGCATCTTTGACAACCTGGACGTGGTGTCAGAGGATGAGGAGGCCCCTGAGGAGGCCCCTGAGAATGGCAGCAACAAGGAGAACACTGAGACACCAGCTACAACTCCCAAATCAGGCAAGCATAAGAACAAGGAGAAACGCAAGGATTCCAACCATCACCACCACCATAATGCTTCCGCAAGTGCCACACCCAAGCTGCCAGAGGTGGTGTACCGGGAGCTGGAGCAGGACACCCCTGACGCACCACCCCGGCCGACTTCCTATTACCGGTAAGGCCGGCATTACCTCTCACCCCTGGCAAAATGGCCAAACAGGATGCAACAGCCAGAGCAAGTGACAGGTAGCTAGGAGAATGTCAGGGGCAAAGGACAGCAGAAAAAAGCTGGCCTTGCCAGACAGAGGAAGTGAACCTCTGCTAATGATGGTACTCACTCTGCACTGCCACATGCTGCTGGCCCCAATTCACTCTTTGTAGCCACTCCCCCAGCCTCACAGCTCTCAGCTAGGGATTGTTCTCATTTCACAGATGAAGAGCTCAGGGTCCAGAAAGTGTGCCAGACATCAGTATGCCAGTAGGTAGCTGAGCTAGGAATAAAAGCCAGGTCCTCCTGACTCCAAAGCTGCACTGTTCTTCCCTGTACCAACAGATCTCGTTTCTGCTTCCTGCCTCTCCCTCCCTCACTGAGTGAACTTGGGGATGCACCCAGCTTCTGATGTCCTAGAGACCCTGTCCCCCAGCAGGCATAGTATTCCTCTGCCTACCTAAGGGTAAAAGACTAGTTACTGATTTCACAAGGTCCTAAAAGCAGCTTGTGAGTCTGTGGAGAGGTTTTTTTCCCATGATCTGCCCTGTTATCTCCAGCCTTTAGCGTCCTCAGCAGTGTTTCCACTGCCTGTGCTTTGGACTTCTCCAACGGCCCTTTTATTTATCTCACTTTTCTCTCTGTACCCCATTCCTTCCAAAAGTTAGTTACAGTGGCTTCTCTTGAAGTCAGAGGCACAGTAAGACTACATTCTCATAACCCGAGGTGAATGAGAAAGGAGTTGGGAAAATGTGGGGGTAAAGCTACATACAGAAATTCTAGCTCAAGGATGCTACAGAAACCAGAGTAAAACCTAGATGCTTGGCCTCCAAGCAAAGAGGGCTTTCTGGTGATTTAGTTAAGGGTCACATTTTGTTGTCATCTAATCAGCCTGAAAGATTTTTCATACGAAAAGCAGTTTTTGCCAGGCCTGGTGGCGCATGCCTGTAATCCCAGCACTAGGGAGGCTGAGGCAGGAGGATCATTGCAAGTTTGAGGCCAGCCTGGGCTACAAGGTGAGCTCAAGGCCAGCCTGAACTGCATAGCAAGACCCTGTCTCCAAAAAAAAAAAAAAAGAAAGAAAGAAAGAAAGAAAGAAAGAAAGAAAGAAAGAAAGAAAAAAGCAGTTTTTACAAAAGTGCAGTCCACACGATGTTCTATTAAACGTCAGTTCTTAAGAGAAAATCTGGGGAGATACAAGTGATAAGAGCCAATAGGTCACTCCCCCCTCCCATCTGAGTTTTAATGCATCTCTCTCCTATTGTCCTTTCTTTCACCTATTCAGACCAGTTGCATTTCCTTCTGGTTCCCCACTCTCTTTCCGTTCTGTTAGCACTGAGTGCCCTTCCCTCTCACCTCCAAAACTCAGGTCCCTTTCCAGGCCTGTCCCTCCTACTGGCTCTTCAATCTCCTCTGCTAGGCAGTCCAGTCTGGTCCTTCCCAGCCCTGCTCATTCCGCTCGTATTGTTCCTCCTTCCTCCCAGATTCACTCTTCTTGGGGTTAGACCTGCTCTTTAGAAGAGCAGTTTGCAGTTGCATTGCAATCAGCTATTAGGTATATTGAGTGAAATCACCATTGTTAGCGAAACTGCCCAGGCTTTGGAAGAGATTGACTTTCTTCATAAATTCCAGAAGCACCAAGGCCATTCCTCTAGTACAACACTGTCTCTTGTTCACTTCTCATGTGCTTCTGTGAGGGGGAGGCAGAGTGGTGTGTCATCTGATGCACCAGAATTGTACATGACACACAGCCTACCTTATCTGTGCCACAGCCTAGAATCTGGGAGCCTGTGGGAGTGTGTTATGTGCTACCACATAATGTCACATGCGTCGTGGCAGAAGAAAGGGTGAGACCAGGTGTTCAAGAGAGCTGGTGCAAGGCCCAGATGGTTCACACCAGCCCTCTGTTCAAAGAGGGGAGGTGGCAGTCACCCTGGGGAAGAGATAAAGGACAACATTCTCCTCTCTTCCCTACCACTCCAAAATGCTTTTCAAATGCACCACACTGAGCACTGTCTCTGAGTGGTGAATTGGACATGATCTCTGCAGAAGAGGCAGACATGTAAACAACTGCAGTGCATGGCAAGGTGGTTTAGGGCTGTACAGAGGCTGGTAAAAGTTAACATGTAATGAGTACTATTCCATGCCAAGCCCTATTCTCAAAACTCACCCATATTAACTCATTTCCTGCTTACATCAGCAGTGTGACATAGGTTTGAATTAGCATCACCACTTCATAGGCGAGGAAACCAAGGCCCGGAGGCTTAGTTGCCTACCTTACCCACTGTTGCGCAGGCCCAGACGGTGGCTCAGAGCCTGTGTGCAGCTGGCCTGTTATAAGCCCACTTCTCATGTAGAGAGAAGAGAGCAGAAATGGCCATAACATTTTGTAGGCCCTATTATGCGCCACTTGATATACAACATTGTTTTTTGTGATACTGGGGTTTGAACCCAGGACCTTCTCACTGAGCTACATCCCCAACCCTTATTTTTTGAAACAGGGTCTTACTAAGTTACCCAGGCTGGGCTTAGACTTGTAGTCCTCCTGCTTCAGCCTCCCAGAGTGCCACCCTACCTGGCGGGACATTCTTTTTTGTAGTTCTGTTTAATCCTGATGACATCTTTGTGAATAGGTAGTATTCTTATTCTATCAGCAGTAAAACTGAGGTTCACAGCAGAGGAGTAATGTCCTAAAGGTCACAGTGTATCAGAGGCAAGCTTCCAGGTGTGTCAGAAGCCAAAGCCCCATTTCTCCCACTGTTCCCTGCAGTTTTACAGTGCCAGAGGCCAGGCCACCTAGGGCATAGTGAGGATGACAGGTGCGCTCTGGGTCACAGGTACCTGGCACAGCCTCTACTCAGGCCCAGTGACATGGTCAGTATGCAGGACAGAGGTGGAGTGCTGGGGCTGGAGGCTGGATGCCAGCTCTGCCGTTCCCATGTTGTGTGATCTGCCTGTGTCCAGCACTTAATTAACTTCTCAAAACTTCTGTTTCCTTACTTAAAAGCAAGGGTGTGAGAACCCTGACCCTGTGGTTGTGGTGAGCACAAATGTAGTGACATAGCGTGAAGCCCGGTACGTGTGAGCTGGATATGGTGCTAAGTTACTACATTTGTTCATAGCTGCTGTGCTACCTCCCGAGGCTGTCCAGGAGCAGACAGAATGCCTAGGGTCTGGCACTGGCAGCCACAGAGTGAAGACCCATGGCAGTTCTCGTTGAGGCCTTGCCATCCTGTCCCAAAGCATGATTTCTGGGCTGGGGTTGTACCTGTCCTAGATCACCTGCTTAGCATGTGTGGGGCCCTGAGTTGAGTCCCCGAATGTGCCACTTGACTTAGGACATTCTTTTTTAGTGGTACAAAGGGTTGAACTCAGGACCTTCACATTGAGCTACAGTATGGGGTGGGGCATAATGTGATTGCCAGAGACCTCCTTTCCCAACTCCTTGCTCCATCCCCCAGATGACCACAATGGGTCCCAGCTGCCCCACCCTGCTGTTCTTGGGAATCTGGCCGGGTCTCTGTCCCCAGAAGGTGGTATCACGTCTCACCAAGGATGCAAGCTTAGGAGACAGGCCTGCTTTACCACATCTCAGAAGCGGGCTGAGGCAGGCTCAGTGACTTTCCAAGTCTTAAGTCTGCTTTCTGCAAGTAGGAAAAAGTGTGGTGTCTATGGTGTCTGTGGTGTCTGGGTTAAGGTAGGGCTGGAGCTAGGTGCCATGTGTCAGGCACAGGTGTAGAGGAAGTGCTTGGTGGCAGATATGACTCCTGCCTGTGAGGGAGGGAGGTCTCATCTGTGGGCTGCTGAGCTGCCTTTGTGCACTGCAGGTACATCGAGAAGTCTGCAGAGGAGCTGGATGAGGAAGTGGAGTATGACATGGACGAGGAGGACTACATCTGGCTGGATATCATGAATGAGCGGCGGAAGACAGAAGGCGTGAGTCCCATCCCTCAGGAGATCTTTGAGTACCTGATGGACCGGCTGGAAAAGGAATCTTACTTTGAGAGTCACAACAAAGGCGACCCCAATGCCCTGGTGGACGAGGACGCTGTATGCTGTATCTGTAATGATGGCGAGTGCCAGAACAGTAACGTTATCCTCTTCTGTGACATGTGCAACCTGGCCGTGCACCAGGAGTGCTATGGTGTCCCCTACATCCCTGAGGGCCAATGGCTGTGCCGCCGTTGCCTGCAGTCACCGTCCCGTGCTGTGGACTGTGCCCTGTGCCCCAACAAGGGTGGTGCCTTCAAGCAGACAGATGATGGGCGCTGGGCACACGTGGTGTGTGCCCTGTGGATCCCCGAGGTCTGCTTTGCCAACACGGTCTTCCTAGAGCCTATTGACAGCATTGAGCACATCCCTCCAGCTCGCTGGAAGCTCACCTGCTACATTTGCAAGCAGCGTGGCTCGGGGGCCTGCATCCAGTGCCACAAAGCCAACTGCTACACAGCCTTCCATGTCACGTGTGCCCAGCAAGCCGGCCTTTACATGAAAATGGAGCCTGTGCGGGAGACAGGCGCCAACGGCACCTCCTTCAGCGTCCGCAAGACAGCCTACTGCGACATCCACACCCCCCCAGGTTCTGCGCGCCGCCTGCCTGCCCTGTCCCACAGCGAGGGGGAGGAAGAGGAGGAAGAAGAGGAGGAAGAGGGTAAGGGCTGGAGCTCAGAGAAGGTCAAGAAGGCCAAGGCCAAGTCCCGCATCAAGATGAAGAAGGCGCGGAAGATCCTGGCTGAGAAGCGGGCAGCAGCGCCTGTGGTGTCTGTGCCCTGCATCCCGCCACACAGGTGAGTGGGGAGCAGGTGGGGTGGAGTGGCCTCCTGGGAAGGAATGGACAGCCTAAGCAGAGGGGCTGGGCTGGCTTACCTTGGTGCTGTCAGGAACTGCATAGAAGTAAAATAAATTCCGAAAGATGTTACCATTAGCAAGTCAACCCGACTCGTACTACGTTAGGAGCTGGCAAAGTGGACTTTACCTGGCAGACCTAACAGGTGTTGGAAACCACCCTTTATGTTGATGGTAGGTATGTTTCATTAGGAAGAAAGAGGAGGGACTGCCACAGTGGAGAGGTGTGGTCTGACCGTGAAGAGAGAAAGAAGGGAGAGTGGGGAAGGGAAGGCCCAGAGGTTGTGGAGAGGCCGGGGAGATTGCGCTGGTGGCGCGTGTGCTTAGCATGTGTGAGGCCCCGGCTTCCTTCCCAGCACCAACAGCAATAATAGAAAAGTCAGAGGGTGAGCTGCTGCTTCTGGCCTGGCACCTCCAGATATCTTTAACTCTGCTGTTGTTTGGTTGATTCACCACAGGTTTCAATTGTACATTTGTAGTTTATTGTCACTTGATGTTAGCCAGATGGCCAAGAAGCTATGTGTGCTTTATCTTGAAACCTCCCAACCTCTGAGTGGGGCTCCCAGGGCTGAGCAGTGCCCTGGGCTACCCTGACTCCAGCAGTCTTGGAAATTGAACCTCCTGACCCTGGGGTAGTTGGGCAGGTTAGGAGTGTTTGGTGCTGGAGGCCTAGTACCTGTCTACTGCAGTGCCGCTGATGGCCATAGTCATTGTTCTTTGTCTTGACCCTGAGTCCTGGGCCATTTCCCCAGGAGAGTGATCTCTGTTCATCCTTAGGCAGGAACTCTCCTGGCCAGGCCCTCTGCTCTAAGAGAATCGGGACCAGCAGGTGTTCTCTTTGTTCCCTGGCCCTAGGCTCAGTAAGATCACCAACCGCCTGACCATCCAGCGGAAGAGCCAGTTCATGCAGAGGCTGCATAGCTACTGGACACTGAAGAGGCAGTCCCGGAATGGGGTCCCGCTGCTGCGTCGCCTGCAGACACACCTCCAGTCCCAGAGGAACTGTGACCAAGTTGGGGTACTGTGTCTAGCACCCTGTGGGCTGTGGGAACTGCCCTCCCTGTCAGAGCATGTAGGCTGTTTGCTTTGTTATGCTGGCCCTCCCACAGACCCAGACAGGATCTGTGCATTATCAGCTCAACAGAAAGGCACTATTGCTCTAAGTTCATTTATTTCTTTCCCCAAAACAGCAAGCCTTCACTTTGTGCCAGGCCCTAGATACACACAGACAAGGGGCTAGCAATAAATTACTGCGTACCCTCTTTGGGCTTGCGCCGCCTTTTCACCCAGGGTCCCTGGGGTCCCCCTCACTGCTGGTTCTATCCTTGGGCTCTCATCATCTCCTGATCCCCCTTTGCCTCTACAGAGAGATTCTGAGGATAAGAACTGGGCCCTCAAAGAACAGCTCAAGTCATGGCAGCGGCTCCGGCATGACCTAGAGCGAGCTCGGCTGCTGGTAGAACTGATCCGCAAGCGGGAGAAGCTGAAAAGGGAGACGGTGAGTGCCAGGGCCAAAAGGAGTAGTAGGGCTGCCCTGGCCGGGAATCAGGCCCAGTGCTGTACTTGTGTCTTCCTGTACTCTGTGCACTTGACCCGTGGGAGGCCCAGGGTCATGGGAGACATAAATGGAGTCCCAGTTTAGTGACCCCGGACCTCACACTGGGAATTTAAAGGCGGGGAAGGCCTTGCTGGCTGGGGCCTTGGGGAAAGTGGGCTGAGTGGGCAGCCCCAGCTGTGGCAGCGGGAAGGCAGATGAGCACGCAGGCTGGGTGGGACCATCTCTTAGACCTGTGCCAGAGGCTGGCCAGGGCTAGCTGATCAGGCTTTTTCATGTCAGATCAAGGTCCAGCAGATCGCCATGGAGATGCAGCTGACACCTTTCCTCATCCTGCTTCGAAAAACCTTGGAGCAGCTCCAAGAGAAGGACACGGGCAACATCTTCAGCGAGCCGGTCCCTCTGTCTGAGGTAACCGAATTGGACGAAGTAAGAACCCCTTCCCTTCACCCCTCCTTCTTTCTGTTCTTCTCCCAGTTGGACCCCTACTGCAGGTCTGGGCCAGGGACTATCTGGGAACCCTGCAGAGAGGGGCTGGTGGCTCCAGGGAGGATAAACTAGAGCCACATGTGTCACCTGGACTCTGTCTTGTCACTATCACACCCCAAGGGCCCAGAAGGGGAGGCAATCTTCATTTCTCCCCAGAGGCAGGGACTGAGTCTGCCAAAGGAATAATCCAGGGCAGGAAGACACTGGGGGTGCTGAACCCTAGAGCGGAGACTTTAGAAGGCTCAGCACATAAAGAACCAGCTCTGAAGCCCTAGGTCCTGACTGGCAGACTCTTCTCTCTAAAAGGTATAAAATGAGAGGCCTGAGACAGCTCCCTTATTGTAAATCTTGATGATAGATTTAAAAAAAGGAAGAGGGATGCAAGGTGGTGGTTTTTCCAAAGGATTCCTCTAGACATTTTCTCCCTGAAGCCGCTTGTGGCTTTATGAGGTAGATTTGCCTATATATCCATCATCATTTTCCAGGAAAGCAAAAGTAGGTCCAGAGAGATTCCATGACTTGCCAGTGTCACACAGCTTGTGACTGGTACAGTCAGGATTAGATCCAGCTTTCCTTGCCCTTGTGCTACATGCCTGCCTCTGACTGGTGGGAGGAGGCTGCTGGATGCATCTCAGGGGGTGTTTATTAGCGAAAGGATTTGGGGAGTGAGAACATGGCTCCACTTAGACACCCCTACCCTGCTCTCCCAGGTACCTGACTACCTGGACCACATCAAAAAGCCCATGGACTTTTTCACCATGAAGCAGAATTTGGAGGCTTACCGCTACTTGAACTTTGATGATTTTGAGGAGGACTTCAACCTCATCATCAGCAACTGCCTCAAGTATAATGCCAAGGACACCATCTTCTACAGGGCAGCAGTACGGCTCCGTGAGCAGGGTGGTGCTGTGCTCCGTCAGGCCCGGCGCCAGGCAGAAAAAATGGGCATTGACTTTGAGACGGGCATGCATATCCCCCACAACTTGCCTGGAGATGAGGTCCCACACCACACTGAGGACGGTGGGTGATAAGTCATGTGCATGCACATACAGCCCAACCCCAGAACCTTGCTAGAAGTGCCTCCTGAGTGCAGGCAGTGCAGGTAGAGGGCAGCAAGGCTGAGCAGGGCACAGTCTCCCCAGAGCTGTCCCCTCGGAAGCCAGCCTGGGCTAGAGGATAGCAGGGCCTGCATTTCACATCCCAGTGCTGCTCCTGTAAAGCGGTTTCCTGGAGAATCCAGGGTGGGAAGAGGGAACTTCTTGCTGCCTGGCGAGGTTCAGGGGCCCATTGGGCTGCCCTGAATCTGACCTATTCCCCTCAACCTCCCCCTAACAGTAGAGGAAGAGCGGCTGCTCCTCCTGGAGAACCAGAAGCACCTGCCAGTGGAGGAACAGCTGAAGTTGTTGCTGGAACGGCTGGATGAAGTAAATGCCAGCAAACAGAGTGTGGGCCGTTCACGCCGTGCGAAAATGATCAAGAAAGAGATGACAGCGTTGAGGCGGAAGCTCGCCCACCAGCGGGAGGCTGGACGGGATGGGCCTGAGCGGCACGGCCCCTCCAGCCGGGGCAGTCTGATGCCCCACCCAGCAGCCTGTGACAAGGATGGCCAGACAGACAGTGCCACGGAGGAGAGCAGCAGCCAGGAGACAAGCAAAGGTCTGAATCCCGTAGCAGGTAGACCCCAGAACAAGTCATATTTGGGCTCGGCAGCAGGTACTCAGCCCTCCCATTCCCCAGGCAGAGGTCTCTCTGCCCAGCTAGCTGTAGTCTCTCCTCGGGTCACAGTTGGGGGCTGGCCTCTTAGCTGCCTCTCTTCCAAATCTCATGGCCCCACGTCATCTCTCCATCTAGCTGGAGTAACTGCCCCTGGACACCTGCTCTTCTCACATCAGGCCCATCACCAACTCTCCTTCTCTCTTTCTCTGCTCCAGGCCTGGGTCCCAACATGTCCTCAACCCCCGCACATGAGGTGGGCAGGAGAACCTCAGTTCTGTTCTCCAAAAAGAACCCGAAGACAGCTGGACCGCCCAAGAGGCCGGGCCGGCCCCCCAAAAACCGGGAGAGCCAGATGACCCCCAGCCACGGAGGCAGTCCTGTGGGACCCCCCCAGCTCCCCATCATGGGCTCCCTGCGTCAGCGCAAGCGGGGTAGGAGCCCCCGGCCCAGTTCGAGCTCAGACAGCGACAGTGATAAGTCCACAGAAGACCCCCCGATGGGTGAGCCTTCCCATCATCACCAGCCCCTGAGAGCTCAGCACTGCCATTCTTCCTGGCATGTCCTGCTACCCCTCCCTTTCCTGTAAAAGGTAGAGCTAGAAGGGCCCTTAGGAACCCTTTCGTCCCATCCTCTCTGGTCTGGAAGATGGAGGCCTGGAGACTCAGGGACCAGCCAGAGTCCCACCAGGGCCTCTTCCATTGTATCGCTTTACCTTTTCTCCTCTCATTTTCTCAGAGATCTCCTACCCTTTAAGTCATTTGTGTCCTGAGGCCTGTAACTGCCAGAGAAGCAAGGGGCAGGGTGGGGCTGAGGCCTGCTGTGGTAGACACTGCCCAGAGCTAGCTGCTGGCCAAATGTATAAGAATGTTGCAGCCCAGAAGCAGAACTCAAGCTCTGAGTCCCTCTTGCCCCTGTGCTGTCCCTGATTCTCATCTTCCTGACCGGTTCCTCCCTCCCTCCCCCAAGACTTGCCAGCCAATGGCTTCAGCAGTGGAAACCAGCCGGTGAAGAAGAGTTTCCTGGTGTACCGCAATGACTGCAGCCTTCCCCGGAGCAGCTCTGACTCTGAGTCCAGCAGCAGCAGCAGCAGCAGCGCTGCCTCAGACCGTACCAGGTACCAGCCCTGCAGATGGAAACCCACTCCTGGGGTTGCCTGTCAGGTCTCTCTGGCTTTGGCTCTCAGAAGTCAGGTGACTCAAACCCAGTTTCCTTGCAAAATTAGTAGCTTAGATCAGTGGCACCATGACAGGGAGCCATCCCAAGTTAAGCTGATGGTTTAGAACAGTGTGCTGTGGTACCTTATACTAAAATAGGAATCCAGACAGGCCACGTAAAATTCCCAGTGCCCATATTCTCTTTAACATTGGCGGGTGTGGCAGTTGTCTTTATGCAGGCCATGTACTACCCTCACCTCTGTCTCACTTACCTCAGTCAGATCTCCAGCCCAACCCCTGGGAGTATGAGTTTGAATTTCTTCTCTCTGCTTTGCAAAAGCCTAGACCTCAGGCCTAAACGAAGGTGAACATGTACCTTGCCATTCCCCCTTTCTTCCCTCCCTTTGAGCCATGTTCCCATCCTCTGTTCCCAGTACCACACCCTCCAAACAAGGCCGGGGCAAGCCCTCCTTCTCAAGGGGCACCTTCCCAGAGGACAGCAGCGAGGACACCTCAGGCACCGAGAACGAGGCCTACTCTGTGGGCACTGGCCGCGGCGTGGGCCACAGCAGTAAGTACCCTCGCCCAGGGCCAGGGATGCTGGGGAGCCTGTATCAGGGCCTTGCTGGTGCCCCAACTGCTGATCCGCCCCCTTCTTCCCTTTCCTGTGAAGTGGTGAGGAAGAGTCTGGGCCGGGGAGCTGGCTGGCTGTCAGAGGACGAGGACTCTCCCTTGGACGCTCTGGACCTTGTGTGGGCCAAATGCCGAGGGTACCCGTCATACCCAGCTCTGGTAGGCTGCACCTCTCTGCCCTGCCCCTTGTTTGCTAACCCCAGGCTCAGACTCCCCTGCTCCCTGACAGGCTGTGGCACACAGGCTTCTTCAGGAGACAGGCTCAGGCCAGTGCATCCTCAGAGTACCCCATGCTGCATCCAACAGTCTCTGCCCCTCCTTGCCCCTATGGTTTGGGAATAATTCACCACAGGAAGAAGCCAAGGGCCAGCAGTGGAGCCCTAGCAGCATGCTTGGTCTTTTGTCCCCACTTGAGATGTAATCCCCAAACTCGTGGGTGGGTACACATGAGAGAATGAACTGAAACAAACTGGGCTCATGTTGCACCCTCAGATCATTGATCCAAAGATGCCCCGAGAAGGTATGTTTCACCACGGCGTTCCCATCCCTGTGCCCCCACTGGAGGTGCTAAAACTCGGGGAGCAGATGACCCAGGAAGCCCGAGAGCATCTCTACCTCGTTCTCTTCTTTGACAACAAACGAACTTGGTAAGGAAAGAGGGGAGCACTTTGTGACTCAGCCACAGATACAGTACCCCTGTGTGGTATGGGGACGGACTGCCAAGAAACTCCAGTAAACAGACTAGACTACCACAGATCCGCAGGGGAAGGCTTGGAGCACAGCTTGCACACAAGGGTTATTTTGACCCTAAGTCTGATGTAGTGTGTGGGCAGTAGCTGACAAACAGTGCTTACCTAGAAGCCAAAAGACCATCAGTAATTGTGACAAATATTGGAGTGGCTCCCCACCTACACTCAGCTGCTAGAGTTATTTTTTCCACTACTTCCTCCCAGGGGACAGAATGCGGGTAAAGCTAGCATACTAGCTGGACATGGTGGTACAACCTGTAATCTCAGCACTGAGGAGCTGAGGCAGGAGAATTGCTGTGAGTTCAAGGCCAGCCTAAACTACATAGTGAGACCCTATCTCAGGAAGACAAAATTAAACACATAAATAAAGCTAATATTTAGACTCTAGCAGAGGGTGGTGGGACACTCCTGTAATCCCAGCACTCAGGAGGCTGAGGGAGGAGGATTGCTGTGAGTTTGAGGCCAGCCTGAACTGCATAGTGAAACCCTGTCTCAAAGAGACCAAAAAAACCCTTAAACTCTCAGTTCTTATTCTGTCACATTTATATATGTAATCTTTTAGTAAGTTTCCTGCAGATGCTATTTATTATCCATGAAGTCTGCTTGGAGTCAATGGTACAGGGCATCTACTTCCAGTTAGATCAGGGCTTGTTTTTGCAACTAAAAATACCCTGTCGTTACCCCTCTAGCATATCTGTTGACTGAGTACAGTCTCTTGAGGAGAGAGACTATGTTTCTAGGTCTCTTGTCACCCCAGTGCCCAACAGTCTGGCCATTATGGGTGCGCAGGATGTTTTTGTGTGTGTGTGTGTGTGTATGTGTGTTTTGGTTTTGTTTGTTTTGAGAATAAGGTCTTGATATGTATTTCAGGCTGGCCTTAAACTCACTGTGTAGCCCAGAATGTCCTTAATCTCTCAGTGATCCTCTTGGCTCAGCCTCCTGAGTGTGCGCCACCATGCCAGCTCAGGAGGTATTTTTGAATGAATGGTGTGAGGAAAGCTGGTCCTTATTCTCCTTGAAATGATTTATTTGATCTTCACTTTGTCCTGCAGGCAGTGGCTGCCCAGGACTAAGCTGGTCCCTTTGGGTGTGAACCAGGACCTCGACAAAGAGAAGATGCTGGAGGGCCGGAAGTCCAACATCCGCAAGTCAGTACAGATCGCCTACCACAGGGCGCTGCAGCACCGCAGCAAGGTGCAGGGTGAGCAGAGCAGCGAGACCAGCGACAGTGACTGATCCTGCCCAGCAGAGCCCAGCCTTCAGAGCCCCATGCCCTCTCCTTCCTGTGCTCACTGTCCGGAGTGGCACAGGCCTCTGCACTGACTCATTCCTGGTCTTGGGGCCAGTCTCAGGGGAAGCTGAGTCGAGGAGGTCCCTCCTGCCTTGAGTGCAGCTGGACTGTACAGAACACTCCAAGGACCCACGGCAACTCAGTGCAAGGAGAGGGGAAGTCCCATAGGTCAGAAAGAGCTCCAGAAGCCTCAGGGCATGGTTGGGTGGGGTGGTGGGCCACTGCTAGGACACTGCAGAACACAGGCCATCCCACCACTGCCACCTGTTCATCCCAGGAGACTTCAAACTGCCTAGAGGCCTGAGGCCCCTGCTGGTGGAGGGGAGCAGGCACCTGTCCAGCCTGGAAATGGGGTACTAGGTGATCCCCTCCCCTGCTATTGTAAATAATGTAATTATCAGAGAATTTAAATTATTCTCATTTGTAACTGCGTTTCCGGGTCGCGCCAGAGTCATTTGGTACTAAAAAGAAGACTGGGGCCTGTCCCCACTTTCCTTCTCGTTCCCATAGATTTTCCCCTACCTTTCAGACTGGTTTGTATTTATTTCAAAGGAATAAAATATATTGATTCTTAGAAAATAAAAGTCTACTTAGAATTATTTGTTCTTGCCTTCTACCAGCCCTCAAAGGGAAGGCTGTGCCCAGGGATAGTGTGTAATTGGGCCCAAGTGGTTGCTGACCGCTGCATGCTAGTTACAAGACACAACAGCAGGGTGTGGTGGTGCACGCCTATAAGCCCAACACTCTGGGAGGTTGTGGCAGAAGGATTTCAAGTATGAGCTCAGCGTGGGCAACTTAGACCTTAGCTGGAGGGATGTGGTTCAGTGTGAAGTACCTGGCTTCAATCCACTGAAAAAACAAAGAGACTGAGAAGCTCCTATTTTGGAGTGGCAGGTCCTTGCTAGTACCTTTAGATAAGATGGTTTCATTTGACTCCTACAGTACCTATGGAGTGTGTTAATAGGCTGATTATCTTCACAAACATACCGAGGTTTGGAAAAATTAACTAGGAAGTCTAAGTGTTAGGATTTGAGCACAGCTCTATCTGCAAAGCTGGCCAACTGCCAGATGAGTCCACTGCAGATTCCTCTGGGATTTCAGTGGTTTTGAGTTCTTTCCTAGGAGCCTGACCCAAGTGCTTTGGTCGCTTTAGCAGCCCTTCCCCTCTGCTTCACTGCGACGCAGCAGGGATATAGCACATCGCTTTCGTTTTACCCCTACTGTCATTTCCTGTCGAACCAGTATTTGTTGCAGGAATGCCTACCAAGTACTGAGTGCCTGTGGAGTGCCATAGCCATACAGGGGACAGTCACAGGGGACAGGGTCGCCTAAGGCCTTGCAGGCACTGAGGAGTGAAACTTGAGACAATGACCCCATTGGTGGTTTGTTTGTTTTTTTTTAACCCGAACCTTACTCTTTTCCAAGACTAAATGGTTCTTATATTTCATTACAACTGGCAGTGATGAACTTTATTTTTTGTTTTTTGTGGTGCTGGGATTGAACGCAGGGCCTTGTATATGCAAGGCGAAGAGCTCTGCCACTAAGCCACAACCCCAGCCCCGACCCTATTGGTTTAATATGGATGCTCGGCACGCCCGGCTAGCAGGTGCACCCTGAGGATGGCGCACAAAGATAAAGCAGATCTGATCCTCTTAAGAACTTTCAGACTAATAGGTTCGGTACCAGTGACCTCAGGTTCCTCCAGCAAGCTGGAACCACCCCCTCTTCCGGCCCAGGTGGCAGGCGGGCTGCCTCCTCTGCACACGCGCTCGGACGCAGTGGCTGCCCCGCCGGACTCACTGCCCGGAGCCAGCCTTCCGCCTGGCACAGGAAAGCCTTCCGCCGACTCAGGACCACCGGGCGAGGAGAGACAGAAAGTCTGGGAAGGGGCTAGGGCAGCCGCCGGCGAGTGCTCGAGGGCAAATCCTGCGGAGACACCTGGGACAGGGCGCTGAGGAGCTGGAACCAGGTTCGGCTCCGAACCAGGCGACTTCGCTGGAGGCGGGCGGAGGAGAACGGGGACCTGATTCTCAAGACGCGCTGGGGCAGCGGGTGGCGCCCAGAAGGGCCACCCTAGGGGCTCGAAAGACCCTGACACGCACTAGCGCGCAGAGAGGCAGTAGCGCGGAGCAGCGGTCCAGGGCGCGCCAACAGCTCGGCGCTCGGGAAGGCCCGCCCACCGCGCCAGACCCACTCCTCATTGGCGCTACTCCTCCCGGATCCAATGAGCGGCGCCTCGGCTCTGCTTCCGGCGTGACGGGCGTGGGGAGAAACACCCGCGCACGCCTGCGTCCCGGCTGCTCGGAGCCGCGGGGGCGCCCGGAGGTTCTGGGGCGGGGAGGACGAATCAGGAGGAGGGTGAGGCCTGCGCCGTTGTAAAGGGAGAAGGCCGAGGGCTGCTGCAGGGGTGGGTCTCAGTGCGTTGGGGCGCCCTCCCTTTCGCTTGTAGCATGAGGCACCGGACGCTCACCTGCAGCCCGGCCCTCTGGGCCTCTATCCCGTGTCCACGCGCGGAGCTGCGCCTGGACCTGGTGTTAGCTTCTGGACAGTCCTTCCGGTGAGTGGCTGCGCCTGGGAGGCCCCTCCCCTCCTTTGAGCTGCTGGCCAAGGTGCAAAAGAATGTTGAGGAGAGTGCACCTCAGGGGGAGGTGCACCTCACGATTTAGAAAAGGAAATAAGCCCTGCTTTATCAAGTGGAGGCGATAAGTCTGCAGCGTAGTGAGGATCAGGCACTAAAACCGGTGCAAAGAGTACCACTGTTACTTGGTAATTAGTAAGTCAGCTTTGTAAACGAGGCATCTGAGGGACAGGAGAGACCCAGAGGGTGATAAAAGGGAGGCGGGATGAGGCCCATTTGCACCCGGGCGCAGGTGGAGGGAACAGAGCCCTGCACACTGGAGCGGCGTGCTGGCGGGCCAGGTGTGGACACTGACACAGACCGAGGAGCGGCTGCACTGCACTGTGTACCGAGGGGACGAGGGCTGGCTCGGTAGGCCCACGCTGGAGGAGCTGGAGGCCGTGCGCAAGTACTTCCAGCTGGATGTCAGTTTGGCCCGCCTGTACAGCCACTGGGGTGCCGTGGACTCCCACTTCCAGGAGGTGGCTCGGAAACTCCAAGGTGAGGATACAGCCAGGGTGAAGGTTGGGTGCTTGTGCATTGGTTGTCTGTGACTTTGTAAGATGGGTCTTCCGGTCTACTTCATAGGATTTATGAGGAATAAAGGAATAGTTCTTGGCACATTATTGTTATCACCATACTGATTACCATTATGAAATGATGGAACCTAAGGTTGGGAGTGTAGCTCTGCAGCAAAAGTGCCTGCCTGACAAGGGCAAGGTCCTGAGTTCAAGTCCCGATACCAAAAAAAAAAAAAAAAAAAAGATGGAGCCTAATCTTGGTGGTGTGGCCTGGGGCCACACTTCATTCATTTTGTAAAGATGTAAGAGCATCCAGTATGCGACTGGTGATAAAGCAGGGGACAAAATGGACAGAAACTTCTGCCCTCATGGTGCTTACACTGTGACTTTATCAGTGAAACGGGGTAGTAATCCAGACCTCATAAGGTGCCACAAGGAATGAGAGGTCTGGCATTGCTCTCTGCAACAGTGCTGTCCCGCATTACCCTGGGACCCCCTCTGTCCGCAGGGGTGCGACTGCTGCGCCAGGACCCCATCGAATGCCTTTTCTCCTTCATCTGTTCCTCCAACAACAACATCGCCCGCATCACGGGCATGGTGGAGCGACTGTGCCAGGCATTCGGCCCTCAGCTTGTCCAGCTCGATGGTGTCACCTACCATGGCTTCCCCAGCCTGCAGGCCTTGGCTGGTGAGTGGAGCCTGTTCCCCCATCTCCCTGGTCACCACCTCCCACCTTTCCCAGCACTGCCCCTATCCAGAACCACCCTGCCTGGCCGCTCGGCCCATCACACCCTGCCCTTGTGGCTGAGTGTCAGTTCCTCACTGTGCTGTGCTCTTTGCCAGTAGCTCCAATGCCTCATCAGAGGAGCATCTGTGTACACTGTTTAGTAGTTTGAGGGTCAGCACATGTACTGTGGAGAGTCAAGCTCTGTCCCTGGCTCATCTCTGTGCTTCTGTGGCTACATTCAGCTACAAAATGAGATAATAACAGCACCTACTTGTCACAGTTGCATGGGGTAGAATGGAGACACATCCTGCACCTAGCAGAGTGCTCGCCCCACAGAAGTATGTGGAAAATTCAAGCTGCTGTCACTATAAGGAACCACAGTTTTGCATCCAAAGCACATGCATGCTGTGAACAGCAACACTTTCACAAAGGCATGGACATCAGCTGGCAGGTACAAGAACCAAGCAAGGCAAAGCACTTGGGGACTGCACAGCAAGGAGATAGCCCACCTCAGAAAAAGACACTTGGGTGTGCCGCCTATAATCCCAGCACTCAGGCTGAGGCAGGAGGACTGCCTCAAGCTGAAGGCCAGCCTGGACTACATAGGGAGTTCAAAGCCAGCCTGAACAACATAGCGAGTCTCTGTCTCAACAACAAAAGAGAGACTGAGATTGAGATTTTGGCATTTAGAAGCCTGGTCTTTAGGTCCTGGCTTAGTAGTTATAAGACCTCATGGAGGGGCTGGGGATTTAGCTCAGCGGCAAAGCGCCTGCCTGGCAAGCGCAAGGTCGTGAGTTCGGTTCCTGGTACCGGAGAAAAACCAAAAAAAAAAAGACCTCATGGAATTCATTCACCACTGCAGCCTTCTCTTGTTTTTAGAATGGGAATAACAGTGTTTTGGCTTTTTTTTGTTTTGGGGGTTGGGTTTTGCTGTACTGGGGATTGAACCCAGGGCCTTCACACTGATCTACATCTGTGGCCCTTTTATCTCTTTGTATTTTTTTTTCTTTTTAATTTTTTATTTAAAAAGAGAGACAGGATATCACTAGTTGCCTGGGATGGGCTCAGACTTGTAATCTTCCTGCCTCAGCATCCCAGAGTGCTAGTATCACAGGTATGCGCAACCATTCTCAGCCAACAGTTTTCATCTCGAAGGATGCTGGAGGGAAGAGAGCAATCTCGTGGCAGTGTAGTATAGTAGATTACAGGCAATAGGGTCCCAGCACAAGACCCATCTCCACAGTGCCTTTTCTTAACTGTTAACTCACCTCTTCTAAGGTCTCATTTTCTTTGTAAACGGGAAAGACAGCAGTGTTGCAACTGGGGTTCTTGAGAAAAATAAGCATGATAACATGGCTAAATGCTTTGCCATTGCATGCTACCAGCACTTAATAAGGGAAACTGTTAGGGATGGGGATGTGGCTCAGTGCCTTGCATGCATAAGGTCCTGGGTTCGATCCCCAGCACCACAAAAAATAATTAATAATAATAATAGAAGCTGTTTTTATCATTTTTCTAAGATTATGGGTATGAGCAACCTTGGGAAAAGTTAAGGAACTTGCCAGGTGTGGTGCACACCTGTGATCTCAGCATTTGGGAGGGTGAGACAGGACCCTTGAGTTCAAGGCCAGCCCGGGTTATATAGCAAGACCCCATCTCACAAAAAAAAATTCCCTTAACCCTTTGTTCCATCATACTAGTGCCTCTTGTCTCTTAGGGCTGTGGGGTGGGCACTAGGGAATGCAGGCCTGTGGGAGAGGGGCTCACACTGCCTGAGCCCTGGTTCTTTCCTACTGCACAGGGCCGGAGGTGGAGGCTCGCCTCAGGAAGCTGCGCCTGGGTTATCGGGCCCGCTACGTGAGTGCCAGTGCCCGAGCCATCTTGGAAGAACGGGGTGGGCCAGCCTGGCTGCAGCAGCTGCAAGAGGCCCCCTACAAGGAGGCCCACAGGGCCCTGTGCACCCTGCCTGGGGTGGGCACCAAGGTGAGCCCCGAGGAGATGGGGGCACCCCCACAAGAGGCAGCGGGGAGGCACTGTGAAAGCCTGGTGGAGGCCTGGCTTCTGGAGGCAGAGCCAGGAGGAAAAAGGATACAAACAAGTTCTGAGAGAAAAGAGCAGAGTTCAGAAGGAACATAAAAGTGAATATTTAGTGACATTTTAGAAAGGCCATTTGTGTAGGTGCATTATATATGCTGCTGTCCCTATGTAGAAATTTCCAAAAGGAATGGCCGGGAAGTTAACAGTGGCTACCTGTGAGGAGAAAAACTGAATTTTCTTCTTTTCTTGAAATTAATGTCCTTACAGACCTTTTTGTTCGATGTCAGTTGGTTAACTAGGAATAAGATGTTTGGAAATTTGGAATTGGTCTTTTTCTTCTTTAAATTTCTCTGTAGTTTAAAAAATGAATTTTCATTTAAATCCCCACCCCCACCCCCCGTACCGGGGCTTGAACTCATGACCTTGTGCTTGCCAGGCAGGTGCTGTGCCGCTGAGCTACATCCCCAGCCCCTAAAGAGTTTTTTTTTTAATAGACTCTGGATGCAGGCCTAACATTAAATCTTGGCTGTTCCCAGCAATGTGACTTGGGCCAAATCACTTCACATTTCAGAGCTTCCATTTTCTTGTCTGCTCTCCCAGATCATGAGACCTGGGACCACGCTGGGGCACATTCAGTAGCAGCTCTTCTTAGAGCATCTTTAGAGTAATTAATAGGTGATGTATATTGCTCAAGAATACAGAGCAATAGTAACCTCAGAGTAAAGAAGGCATGGCTGGCTTTGGGTCATGCCATCCCTCCACAGTGTGCATCTGTCTCTCCAAGGTGGCTGACTGCATCTGCCTAATGGCTCTAGACAAACCACAGGCTGTGCCCGTGGACATCCACATGTGGCAGATTGCCCAGCGTGACTACAGCTGGCACCCCAGCATGTCCAGGGCCAAGAGCCTAAGTCCCCAGGCCAACAAGGAACTAGGTGAGGAAAGGGGGGTGCTGGGCACTGGGCAGAGGTGAAAGAAATCTCCTACTCTCCTTCCAGCCCTGTGGATGGGGGGTAGGTGGGGCCAATTCATGTAACCACTTTGCTTCTGATTTAGGGAACTTCTTCCGGTGCCTGTGGGGACCTTATGCTGGCTGGGCCCAAGCAGTGAGTGTGCCCATGTTTCCCCTGGTATCCAGCCCAGACCCCAAAGGATCCATGGACTCTCCCACTCCCTCAGTAACTGTAAAGAACTCTCCGGCCTCCCCCAGCCCTGACCCTTGCAGCTCTGCCACCTCCCCATGGTGTCACCAGTGTACCCTCCTCCCCATAGACTCTTCCTGCCCCTCCTACAGGTGCTGTTCTGTGCCGACCTACGCCAGCCCCACCACGCTCTGGAGCCCCCAGCAAAGCTCAGAAAGCAGCCCCACCACACTCCAGAGCCCCCAGCAAAGCTCAGAAAGCAGTCCAAAGAGCCAGGAGTATAGGTGGGAGCCCTGGACAAAGAAATTCCCCAAACAACTTTCCCATCAGCCACTGCCTCGTCCCCTGCCCCACCCTGTCTCATGTCAGGGAAGGATCCCTTCGACTACCTCAGGGACCAGGTGCCCCCCAAATCAAGCAGTTGGTTTGCACAAGGTGGGGTGGTAAGATTCTGGGGAGGCAGAACTGTGCATGGTTTTATCTTCTTCCCTTTATTACAAGAAGGAACAATAAAATAGAAGCATTTGTATGGAAAACATGGTGATGAGTGAGAGGAGTGGGTGAGGAGGACATGGGGCAAGGTGGCTCCCCAGTTCAGGGAGGGAAGGGGAGCAGGCTGCCCCCAGCCCTTCCCATGGAGGAAACCCTGACAGAGACCAGGGCCCTAGAGCTGGGGCGGCAGTGTCGGGGACAGCTCCGGGCCTGGCTCCACACAGCAGTCTCGACAGCAGTAGCCTGCTGCCGGCCCTGCACAGGGGACAGAGAGCTGGCTGCGGCCGCCTGCCTTTCTGGCCTGGGCCTCCTCACAGACCAGCCCTCCCCAGAACCTGGTCCTCACCTCCAGCTGGGGGTGTCAGCAGCTCCCCATGGCTCGCCAGCTGTCCCTGCCCCTCCTGGCTCATGCCCAGCTGCAGCTTCCGCATGTGCCGCACCACAGCTGTAGCATTGAAGGCTTGCTGGGGGACAGGGGAGAGGGACACCTGAGAACGGCGAAGCTTGTGGGGCCAGGCTGGGCAGCAGGGGCCTGTTCTCTTCATTCAGGGTTACACAGCGATGCTTCTAAAACCCCCGAAACCTCTACACAGTTCTGTTCGGTCCCACGTTTACATATGCACACGTGGGTATATAAAATGTGCACATAGGACAGGACACAGGTTCACGTTCATATGTTAACAGCAAACCCCGCACAGCACTGTGTCAGGCACTGTGCTAAGTAAGCACTTCATGTTCATTCATTTAATCCTCACAAACTGAGGCCAGCACTACTATTATGAATTTCAAAGAAGGAAATTGAGCTACAGAAATATTAAGTAACTTACCTGCATATATGTGAGATTATATATATATGTGATTGTGTATCATTTTCTATTCAGTTTATCCCTGAGGTCAGATTCACCATATCCAAAACTAAAGTCATCCCCTCCAGACATGGTTCTGTCCCTGGGATAACCATCCCAACGTTGGTCCTACTGTCCACTCTGTCCCTAAACACCCGCCTCCTTCCTCCCTCACATCCATTTCAGCACTTCCTATTGATTCTACTTCCCAAAGGACTGCTGCTCTCTGCCCCTGTGGTCTCTCTTGCTACTGCCCTAGGAGCCCTCAGCATCTCCTGTCTGCATCTCTGCCACAGCCCTTCACAGGGTCTCCCAGCGTTCACTGTGTGCCACTCTCTGCACCCTAAGAGCCCCTTCTGAAGGGCGAAGTGCTGCTTTGAATTCTTTTAGGCCTCCTCAGCACCCCCATATCAAATTGGGGCTCCACTGTGGCTTTTAAGGCCTGAGCTGCCTGGCCTGGCCTGGCTTCTCCAGCCTGGGCTGCTGCTGCTCAGGGTCCTCGCACCTCCAGCCCAGCCGGGTTTCCCACCAGCACTTCCTGAGTGGCTGCACTGTCCCCTTGCATTCCTGCTCCCTCTGCCTGGCTAACTCCTCTTTGGCTGACAGGTCTGCCCCATAGACTGTGTCAGATGCCTCCCGAAGAACAGACTTCTGCCTTTAGATTTGAAGGTCTGGGACAGTATCTGGAATTGCATGTCAGGGGGTGCTTATTGAATGAATGAATGAACAAACGAACAAGTCCTCCAGAAAGTGTCCCTGACTAGTTACTTCTGCCCAGCTTGATGCTAGATGCTATGCAGGCTGAGTCTGGACAGGGGTGGGCAAGGGACCTGCGGAGGCTGGAACCCAGGACTAGGGCCACTGGCTCACCTTCCACTTGCTCTTGGCAAAGTTCTTCTTGATCTGCTCGCTCACAGACTGGTGGATGTTCTTATCGAGAGCTGTATCTCCTGCGATCCTGAGGTGGGGAAGTGTGCAGGGTGCCTGTGAGAACCGTGCTGGCCCAAGGCCAGGCCACGCCCCAGCCCCTAGTCCGTGGGGGCTCTTACCATGGGTGCTGCAAGGCCTGCTCACAGGTGAACCTCTTCTCTGGATCCTTCTCCATCAAGTGCCGGATGAAATCTTTGGCTGAACCCCAAGATAAAAGCAAAGACACAGCATGGCAGTGCCTGTGGACACCCTAACATAGTACTCCCGCAGGACAGCACTTAACTGCACACAGCAGGACAGAGGCCAGATCTGCTCATGCAGCCCCCCAGTTCTGGCTCTAGGGCCCCCACCCCACCCCGACTCGAAGCCTTCTCCTTTCCCTCTTAAGCATGATCAAGACTACTCAGGGTGTTCACACTTGGTAATGCCTCCACAGGATGGCTTCCAAGTAGGGGATACAAATGGAGGGATGAAGATGTTATGGCTGTGTTTTAGGCATTAGGAAGTCAGTAGGGGGAAAGTATTTTCAAAAATACTATGTTTGAAGACTGACTAAATAAATACCTACACACCTTCCAGACTGAGCCAAGCAGATGGGTCAGGGACAGCTCACTGTCTGGGGCTGGGGAATCAGACTGAAGGAAGGTAGTGGGGAAACACCAGAGCGGATAAGGAAGGTACCACAAACAGGGCCCAAGAGAAGAAGGCGAGGGGCCAGCAATATAGCTCTGTGGCACAGCACCTGCCTCGCAAGCGCAAAGTCCTGAGTTCGATTCCCGGAACCAAAAAAAAAAAAAAAAAAAAAAAGGCAAATCCCAGAATACCAGAATCAGAGATGTCGTCCCAGTAAGGAGAGTCAAACTCGTACTCGGCCTTCAAAATCTGTTCAAAGAGTTTGGCATCATTCTCGTCATAGAAGGGGGGGTAACCGCAGAGCCTGGGCAGGAGAAACTGGTCCTCATTTCCACTTCAGCGGCACCCTGGGCTCAGGCTGGAGCTTGCGGGCAGGACAGGAGTGAAGCAGGACCCACAGGGAGAGGTTCCCCCTTTGCAGAAGCCACCCCTCCTTGCCCAGCTACATGGCCCCCCTCCCCTACTGGGGATTGAATCCAGGGCCTTTGCTCTAAACTACAGCCTCAGCGCTTTTTGTAATTTTCTTTTGCTTTTTTTTTGGTCTTTTTGAGACAGGGTCTCACTATGCAGTTCAGGCTGGCCTTAAGCTCACTTCGTAGCTCAGGCTGGTCTTGAACTCACAACGATTCTCCTGCCTCAGCCTCCCAAGTGCTGGGATTACAGGCATGTGCCACCATGCCCAGCCCTTTTGTAATTTTCTTTTGAGAAACAGCATCTCACTAAATTGTTAAATTACCCAGGTTGCGCTTGAACTTGTGATTCTCCTGCTGGGATTACAAGCAGGTGCCACCACACACCACTTACCCTCATCTTTTTGTTCCTTGATATTGTCACTGCTTTGCCATCCTTGGGGGCCTCTGCACTTGCCCTTCCCTCTGCCTAATCCTTTCCTCCCCCAAACTTTAAATATCTAATTCCCTCACTTCTTTCAAAATGCCACTCACATGTCCCCTCCACAGAAAGCCCTTCCTGACCTTATCTGAAATGGCATCCACGCCCTCTCCATACTCCTGCTGCATTTTTTTTCACAGCATTCTTTTTACCCCTTGACAGTACTTTATAGATCCATCTACTTTTTAATTTTCTGCTTCCCTACTACAGTGTCAGCTCCCCAAGGCAGGCATGTGGTCTGGCTCGTTCTCTGCTAAGTCCTCAGTGCTTGACACAGTGCCTGAAACATAGTATCTATTCAATGAAGTGATATTAGTAATTAGTAGGCAGGTATAACTATGGATGAGAAGGAGCGGGGTTGGAAGAGAGGGGCATAGGGAGGACAACTGTGAAGCCACAGCCTGCAGTGGCCATGCCCCGACTTACAGGATATAGGCGATGACCCCAATGGACCAGCAGTCCACAGCCTTGCTGTAGGGTTTCTGGGCCAGCACCTCAGGGGCTATGGAGGAAAAGGGACAGAGTGATGACAAATTTCTGCCTGTAGCTCCTGGTTCCTCCCTTGCCCACAGCTTTATCCCAGGGCCCTTCGCACCCACGTAGCCAGGGGTCCCACAGGCTGTGGAGAGCACGCTGCCTGGATCTTCCATCTTGGAAAGGCCAAAGTCTGATATCATGATCTTGGAGTCTTCATCCAGGCTGTAGTAGAGCAGATTCTCTGGCTTGGAGTGAAGGAGGCCAGGGAAGCGACAGTCAGTGCTGGCCACGGGCTGGCCAACCTTCTGCTCCCAAAGCTTGACTGGGAAACCGCAAACCCCCAACAGCTACTGGCCAGCCAGAAAGCTTCCATCTTGGATGAAGGCAGGAGGAACTCAAGGAAGTTTTCAGAAAAAACAAGGGCCAGGGGAGGTGGGAGGAAATTCTCTGTAAACCTAGAGGAATCCTGTTTGAACATCTGTGAGTGCCAGTACTGGCTGAGTGCCTCACTGGTTACATCCTCACCACATTCCCTGCCAGCTGGTCTGAACAAGCCCACTTTGCAGGTGAGAGGCAAAGTGACCTGCTCAAGTGCTCAGCTAGGGAGCAGCAGGGCCAGGGTTCAAACCCGGAGCTGGCCACCTCCTAGACCAGACTGAGACTGCTACCTAGGGGCTCTATCATCTGAGAAGCACACTTCAGGCCTCCTTCCTTATGCTTTGCTGTCCTGACTGAGTTCTCTACAAAGAGCAAGTGGGACTTTAAGGTCAGAAAAGCATGCGGCACCCTACCCAGGTAAAATGCCAGTATGAGTCCTGGCCTGAAATGGGAAGAGATGGCTTAGGGTCCCAGGCACATCCTGCAGGCAGGAAGCCCTGACTCCAGGAGAGGGTGAGAGGCACCCAGGGTCAGCAGTGACTTGCAGAAGTCCCGCCCCGGGTGCCCCAGTTCCCCATACCCTGTGAGCCCCACCTTGAGGTCCCGGTGTACAATGCCCAGGTCGTGCAGGTACTTGACAGCATCCAGCACCTGCAAGATGAGGCGGCTGGCATCCCGCTCCGTGTAGAAGCCTTTTTCTACAATGCGGTCGAACAGCTCCCCACCTGACACCCTGCAGCAGGGAATAGACAGTGTGGCCAAGGGAGCACTACCAGCAGGGACACTGGGAGAGGGTGCAGTGCCACTCACAGCTGCATGATAAGGTAGAGGTGGCCGCCACTCTCATAGATGTCATCCAAGGCCACGATGTTGGGGTGCTTGATCCTGAAATGAGAAATGAGGACAGCTTGGCCTCTGCCCAGTGCCTGCACCCTGGCAGGACAAACCATGGATCTGGCCCCACCAGGAGAAGCTGATTTATATGATTTATTATAATTTCTTGGAAGGCAAAGAGTAAAGGAGCAAACTTGGGGCTCTGGCAGCACACAGACCTAGGTCCACATCCTGCTTCTGGGACATGCTACATGCGCTGGACTTTTCGTACCATAGCCCTGATGGACAGCAGGGTCTTAGCCTGCCCCCCTAAAAGGTTAGCCACGTACCCAGAGACTGTCTTCTTACCACTGTTCCCCCAGCATGTGTGCAATGTAGGTGCACAGAAACGCTCATTGAGCCAAATGTAGGTTTTGCCTTAGTTTCACCACATCTCAAATGCAGCCAGGGACAGGACTTCCTTCCCAGGGCAAGGGTGACACAGGTGAGTGGCCTGGCGTACACTCAGTGGACAGACCAGTAAAGGTGGCTGACATTGGAGAGGAAGCTGTGGCTCGGCCACAGTGCCTGTGTAGCTCTGGGCAAGTCCCTGGCTCTGTCTGGGCCTTGTTCTCCCACTTTCACTTCCTGGTGGTAGAGATGATCATTTCTCTCCTGCCCAGGATAAGCTCAGGGGAGAGACTGGAAGTGAAGGTTCTCTACAAGCTTTCCAGTGTGAGCAAGAGGTTGCAAGCAGGGGCAGCAGGGGCAGCAGATGCAGCTCTCGGCCTGCCAAATCCATGACTGTATGGGCAGAACCTGAAGCAGGTCTAGAGACAGCAGTGGCTGAGGCATGTGGGTTCACACCATGCTTGAGGGTTGACCTTGGGACCTGACTGAACAGATTAGCCCTCTAGAGCCAGGCGTGGTAGCACACGCCTCTAATCCCAGCACTCGGGAGGCTGAGGCAGGAGGACTGTTGCGAGTTTGAGGCCAGCCAGGGCTACAAAGCGAGCTCAAAGCCAGCTTGAACTGCATAGTGAGACCCTGTCTCAAAAAAAAAAAAAAAAAAAAAAAAAAAAAGAAACAAAAACAAAAACAACAGATTAGCCCTCTGGAAATAAATCCTGGCACATCAGTTGAATCTCCATTGTTAAGTTATTGTGCCAGCCACTTAAAATAAAGGACCTCTAATTGTTCCCCCATACTCCTGCCAAGTAGAAGGTCTTGGTTTTTTTTTTTTTTTTGGTCTTTAGAGACAGGGTCTCCCTATGCAGTTCAGGCTGGTCTTGAACTCACTTTGTAGCCCAGGTTGGCCTCGAACTCACAACAATCCTCCTGCCTCAGCTTCCCGAGTGCTGGGATTACAGGCATGCGCCACCATGCCCGGCTTAAGTGGAAGGTCTTATCTCTGTTTTATAAAAGAGACTGTGAGGCCCAGAAAGTTTAAATGGTTTGTGCAAAGCAGGGGAAGAAGGGCAGGAGGGGTCAAGGCAAGGTCAATCTAGAGGCAGGCTGGCTATGGCTCACGCACTTGTGCAGGACAGCGATCTCGTTCTCCATGCTGCCCTCTTTGCCCTCCAGGGCCTTCTTGGCAATGCATTTGATGGCCACCAGCTTCTGAGTCCTCTTATCTTCTGCCAGGATGACCTCTGAGAATGCCCCCCTGCAGGGAAGAGGGTTCACATCCCTCAGCCTTGCTCCACCCCTGTGGATTATGTTAACACCTCTGGACTAGGAAGTGTGAGGAGACTCTCCAAGCACTTATCTACCCCCTGCTCTGGAGGTGGCCATGAGACCCAGGGTTGACCAATCAGAGTAGTCAGTGCCTTGGCTGTGGGCACTGGTCATGTGATACAAGGCCAGCTACTTGCACTGTGAGAATGAGACGCTCTCTCCTGTGAAGTTGGTAGGGATGTCAGCCTGGAGCAGATGCTGAAAGGGAAAAACTGTAGAAGAAAAACTGTTCTTTTTAAAACATTTTTCTTTTGAAACTGCCTAGCTCGTATCTGCCTCATGGCTTTGTAATTACTTTCTTGACACCTGTAACCAGGAGAGTGTAACCAAACATACAAAATGATTTGTAGCATTGTACCAAGTTTCATGAACTGATGATCATTAATCTACCCTTGTAACTGATGATCTCACCATGCTAGCTAATCAGAAGAACTGCCAGGCTGTTTTGTCTTCATACCTCCTTTGTACCTCCTTTTTGTGCATCATATAAAAGCGCTGGACCATCAGAGATTACAGCATGATAATCTGGGAGTGATCCCAATCAGTGCCCATTGACATAAATAAATCTGCCTCCAAATTCTTGGTGTTATTCCAGTGTTTCTGGTTGCTGTTGCATGCAAAGCCTATTTGAAACTGAAGCCAACACAAAGGACCTAAAAAAGGGTTAAAGATCATTTCCTGATATCATGTGGGCCCTGGTCCAACTAGGCCTGAAGTCTACTATGAGCATTTAGATCACACATGTGGGCCCTGGTCCAACTAGGCCTGAAGTCTACTATGAGCATTTTTTTTTTTTTTGGTTTTTTTTTTTTTTTTTTGGTTTTTTTTTTTTTTGGTTTTTCTCCGGTACCGGGAACCGAACTCACGACCTTGCGCTTGCCAGGCAG